TCATTATATCGGTGGCTAGCGAGGGGTTAAAGAACTTTGGTTACTCAGCAGTCTTAATTGAATTGCCAAATTGCTAAACCTAGCATTCTCATGTTAGATGATGTGTAATAAGAGAAGGAAATCTCCCCGCCTTTCTCTTGCTACCCTTTCTATCTAGCTAATTGACTTATTGAAAATGAAAATTAGAGGCAAAGCGGGTACTCAATTCTTGTGGACTGCCTGATTCGGGTTATCAATGACACACCCAAAAGTCAGACTAAACCAAATTATAAATTAGTTTCCACTCTGGGTTGCCAAGGAGCCTGTTTTAGAGACCTAACCTTTAAATAAGGAAAACAATTTAAATAAAATAGACACCATCTAATTCCCTGACACGTGCCACTTCTTGATACAGAGACTGCTTGCTTTTGATCTGGGCTGTCAGAAACAGGTGATTTGGAAAGGAATGTTCTCAGGGTTCAAACTTGCTCTCACACAAAACTTCCTGCCTAAGTGCAAAGAAGTCTGCCTGAGGTCTTATCAGAGGCCTGACACTTGGGAAAATGTTTTCCCTGCAGCCCTTTCCCCAACGGGAGCGGCCCTGCTCTGGGACCTCACTGAGGAGTCTCTACTCCCAGCCTGCCCTCCGGAGTCTCTTCTCAGGGCGGTAGCGACGGTACGAAAACTCATGAATGAGGCACTGGTGTGTAATGAACAGCATATGCTGGCAACAGCTGTCTTTTATTACACATTATCTAATATGAGAACGCTAGGTTTAGCAATTTGGCAATTCAATTGAGACTGCCGCGTACACACAGGTCTTTAACTCCTTGCTAGCCGCTAATGTAGAGATGCTGGGGTTCGATTTATGATCCCTCTTCTCTTGATTTTAGTCAGATGACTTAAAAATCAGGCATTAACATTCGAGGTATAATTTTCCTGCTACGCAATGATTTACAATGTCCCTTGTTAGTGGGAAACCAGGACCAAAATGCTTCAGCTGTCAGCTTGCAAAGGAGGGGATGACCTGTAGCTCAGTCAGATAGCCTGCCAGGCTCAGAGGAGCTCAAAGGTCAATACTGTAGCCACTCCTGCTGTTAAGTAACAGAGTGCTAACTTCCTGGTCCCCACTTTGTGTGCTCACTTCCTGAAAGTGTTGAGGGAGGAGAGAGAGGGGAGGCAGTCATTCATAGGTGAGGAGTGTTTTTGTTCGTTTGTTTGTCTGTTTCCAAAGTTCCAAATCATGTGATCTGCGCCCTTTCCTGTCCCCTGCCTCCCTCTCCCCAGTTCTTCCCTGAATACAGCTTGCTTGCTTTTTACTTTGAAAGCAGGATTCTTGGGATGCCAAGGCTGAGCAGATGACTCTAAGATACATGGAAATAAAGGCATTGAACTCGCTTGATTAGTAAGTGCCCTGAAGGAACCCAAAGCGGGTTGCAGCTCCTCAGGGAAGTCTCATGGTGAGCTCAACAACCCCTTTCCTCAAGAAGAACTGTTGGAACTTGACTCCCAGCATGCAACAGTACGGATCAGAGAAGACTTTCCCAATTCTTTTGTGGTGAAATTAACAGTTTTCTACCTAAAATGATTCATTCAATGAGCAAAATACCTTCTAGTTAGGAGAAGCACTTGGGAGTGTTGGTAACAGATGGGTGTGCAGCCACAAATAATGCAAAAGCTCCTCACGGGCAGGACCCATCCCAGAAATACACGCCTTACAGAATTGAGCACAATATTCCACATGTGAAGTTTTCAGTAAAATTACCCTTCCGGAAGTTGTCTGTTTAGTAATACAATTGGCCCTGAACAACATGAGTTTGAACTGTGCAGGCCCATTCTATGTGGATTTTAAAAATAAATAGTGTAAATGTATTTTCCCTTCCTTATGATTTTTTAAATATTTTCTCTTCTCTTGCTTACTTTAGTATAAGAATACAGTATGTAATACATATAACTTACAACAAAAGATATGTTAATCAACTCTTTATGCTCTCAGTAAGGCTTCTTATCAATAGTACGCCCTTTAATAATTAAGGTTTTGGGGAATCAAAATTTATACAGGGATATTCAACTGTTAGCACCCTTAGACTCCACGTGTTCAAAGGTCAACTGTAATTGGATAACCAAGAGAAAACCAGGCCAAGAGGTTCAGTCTGTGCACCACTAGTGCATATTCCAGCTTCTTACATGTCAGGCCCCTAGCCTCACTACACCATTTGGTAAAAACTGTTTTCGAGGAGCAACCCTAGTCCTTGGGCATTCCAATATGTCTAAAGACTTTCCTTGTGGTCCCCAGTCTCCTTCCTACAGTGTTTTCCATTGTAGATATTTTCCCCCTAACACTGTGTTCAGAAATAGAAATAACTGCACTGGGGTGTCTGTCAGCTCCTACAAATACAGACAGGTATTGAGATAAATACGCACACACGGAAATCTATTTTTAAGCAATTCTGAGTGTAAACACCCTAATGATTCTGAAGATGCATCTGAAACTACAGGCTAACCAGGTACCGCTTTGCAGAAACCAAAGCCAACAATAATGAGAAGTGTGAATTGTTGACGTCAGCCCTGAGAGGGTTGAAAATAACAGTGGCCAGAGAAACACCTGCTCTTGTGGTGGCCTTCTGGAGATCTTGTTGCCTGCAATCCAGTCAGAGCCAACATTATTCTCTAAAAGCCAGTCCAAGGAAATGGACCTCCTCCTGGAAAAGTGCATAATGTCAGGATGAACTTGCAACAAGTCTCACTGATTAGTTGAATAGAATCAAAAGTATCATGTACAAGAGTTTTGTCTTGCTTTTTTTTAATAAAGTAATTCTCATAACACTAAGAAAAAGCTATTTGACTAGGAGAAAGGACCATGAGAAAGGGGAGAAGAAAAGACCTACAAAAGATGAGAACATACCAGCAAATTATTTGTGTTAGAATAAATGTGTACGTATATGTGTTATACACATGTGAACATATACACATACTTGTGTGCATCCCATATGCTTACATCCCTCTCTTCTTTCAATAACCTCCTACTGATTGCCTTTTCTTAAGTTCATGCTATCTTCCCTCAGGCTTAAAATCCAGAGGTCCCTCTTCCATCTTCATTGCCTTTGGTATTCAAAATTTTGCATCTCTTCTCCATTCCCTCCATTTCCTCTTTCTCAATGAGTGTAAGAGTTGCTCCCTCACCACTAGTTTCTACCCATTTATCCACAGACCATATTTCCAGAATAAGATTCCTAAGTCCTTTTACTGCTCAAACACACTCAATGGCTCCCTGTGCTGCTCAAATGGGTGCTGCCTCAGGGGAAGTGTCCAAGTGTTTTGCAAAGCAGCCCATCTCTGAGGTCTCCCCTCACCTCCCACACAGACACTGGGTCCTCCTGACCCAATAATGTGTCCTTACCTAAACATCCCCTGAAGACCCAAGATCTGTGCTTCAGCATTAAAAATCCCTTGTTCTGGAATACCAATATCTGGAATCTCTCTCCTTCAGAGTTGTATTAAAAAACACATAGTATTTGGATTCAAGCATTTATGCTGTTTATTTTGTAAACACCTACTCATTCTCCTGCTTCATTGTAAACCCAATAAGGACAGGAAACATGTTCTCCTATACTGCTCTTTTTTGAAAACTAAATAAAGATTAGGGTACTTCCAATAGTTGCTTTTTTTCATACAGGTAGTAAATTGATGGACGTGCTCATCATTATGTTAAATTTAACATCATAAAAACACTTTTGCATTGAAAAGATTGATAATCTAAACCATGGCAAACGATGCCCTCATCTTCATTGTGAAAAATCCCAAGGTATCAGCTACATACATCACTGAGAAAAGATCATGACTCCCATCATGTTCTACTAATTCTAAAATTAAAAGGTTTATGTGGAGCACATCATACATTTGCAACATTAAGGGCATTTATGCTCTAAAGCAATTGTAAGTATTTTTTGCACAACTCATATCTAAATTCAGATGTGTACTTGGTGTATTATAGCAGGTTAAATAACTGAAGAGGTGTTATGGTTTTAATTTTTTTTAATTGGAGGTAAAAAATATAAAAAATGTTTACTATAAATCCAGTTAAACATGAGTTTTTTTCCTAATGTGTTTCCCTCTCTGGGGAAATATTTTGCAGTAAAAATAAAAGTAATAACATAATTATTGAGCATATACTGCATTTCAGTCTCAGTGTTAAGCACTGCATATTTCTCACTTCAGCAGCTGAAGAATTCCATAGGGTGGTTCTATTATTATCATCATTTTAGGAAAAAGAAATCTGAATCTTAGGAAGGCAAGTGACTTGTCCAAGATCCCACAGCTCTTCAGTGACTGAGCTGATGTTCCATCTGCACTCACTTTTCTAATACAAATATTTTCAAGAGCATGAGGTATGTGCCCATGCCTCAAAGCTGAAGATAATTTAGTCCATAAAACTTGTCCTCAGAAAAAGCACTCTCTGCCCTAGCCAGATTGGCTCAGTGGATAGAGCGCTGGCCTGTGGACTGAAGGGTCCCACGTTCGATTCCAGTCAAGGACATGTACCTTGGTTGTGGGCACATCCCCAGTAAGGGGTGTGCAGGAGGCAGCTGATGGATGTTTCTCTCTCATCGATGTTTTTAACTCTCTATCCCTTTCCCTTCTTCTTTGTAAAAAATCAATTATATATTGATGAGGCTGGGAGGAAAAGAATCGATGGGACACAAACAAGGGGGAAAATCAAGAATTCTCAAACGGGTCATGTCTATAAATAGCATCTTCAAATGATGAAGATTTGTCACCTCTCCAAATGAGAAAAGCAATCTTCTCTTAAGTTTTGTCATGACAAACAAACAAACAAACAAACAAAAACACCCTTTGGTTATGGTCTTAAATTTTTGGACCAGTATACTAGTACGGTCTGGGCTCCACACCTCCTTCCTCTTAGAAGCCTCTAAAATAACAATTTTAGAAGTCAGACAGACATATCACTCTGCTCTCAAGAGAATGTGAACCCTCTAAAAGTTACAAAATAGCAATCGTACCTGCTTTCGTCCCCGAGGCAAAGTAGCCACAGTATCAGCCAGCATTTGAAGCCTTCTATTATCATCCATGGAAAAGCTGCCTGTGAGAATGGAGTATGAGCCGCATGCTGGACCAGCACAGCAGTCCACCAAATTGCCATTGCTGCTCTGGTGCATGAGCCTTGGTAAAGACATTGTGCCTAAAGATCACTCCAGCTGCCACATGGTTGAGTGGCCTTGCAGGATGGGGGAAGCTAAATGTATAACTCTCTGACAAGTAATCAGAAGTAGCAAAGCAGAAAGAGCCCATGTGACTTCTGTGGTTTGAGGTACTTGCTACAGAAACCCTATCTTGCAGTTCACTCCCATTTCTCAGTGGCTTTTTTCTTTGCGGGCTCCTGAGAGAACCTAAAGCTACTTTTTACCACTAAAAAAGAACCAACTTATTTCTCCCCCCCCTTCAAACAGCCAGGACTCGTATGCGTTCGTGTTCTCTGACAAGTTGTGTTCAAAACACCATCTGCCCTTTCTTTTTTAAAGGAAGAAAAAATTTTCCCAAGTTCTTCCATTTGTTTCCCATCCATTTTCCTACTTAACATGAGCAAGGCAATGTAAAAGCCAGGATGTTCGAACATTCAGTCCCCGTGAGTATAAGCAAGAATTACAGGGTCCGGTCATAATGTTCTCTCGCAAAGTCCTTGTAATGTACTTTCCCCAAAGTACACCGTAGCCCATTAATGTTCATCAGAAAGACATTATATGTGCCACTTGGACTGTAACCATTCAGCATTCTCCTGGTTGTCCTTTAACTACTTTGTCCTGGCTAACATTATCCATCATCTTTACAAGGAACAAGGGGAGGAGAAGACCAGCACATTTAGAGAACAGAACTGGCTATATTTTAGAGTGGACTTTGCTGCAGCATCAGCAAGTAGGCCTGGGGAGGAATGGAGAGGGCAGGAAGGTAACAGGCAAACCGAAGTGGCACAGGAAATGTTGCCAATGAGCCCTGCATGTGCGTATGGGTCAAGGGCACCATGGTGAAGTATTTAAAACCACAGATGCTATTTCTGACTGGGGCTTGGGACATGGAGATTTGAGAGAACTCGTTTCAAAGGAGCAAGGGATGGAAGTAGAAGGAAGAATCAAAACAAAAATCAAAAGGAGAAGTGTTACATAGTCTAAAAATCAACTATGATTTTTGAAATCATTTTGACTGTCAACAGTAGAACTAGAAAGTCTGTCAACTAAAATGGAAGTCAAGGTGAATTCAGGTCAAGCAGAAACTGTCAAATGTAAAAAAGTAAAACTTTGGAGTTAACAGTGCTTTATCATTGGCATTGTTAATTGCCAAAGTCGCTACCACCCAGGGTATGGTATTTGTCATTATGGTATTACTAGAGGCCTGATGCACGAAATTCGTGCAAGGGGCTTAGGCCCCGCAGCCCTGGCTTTGTCCACAAGTTGTCCGGAAGGACATCCAGAAAGACCTCCAGAAGGTTGTTCAGATGTCCAGTCTAATTACCATATTATGCTTTTATTATCAAAAATGGTATTAGTGCGAGCTAATACACTCTGAACCTCAGTTTCCACATATCTAAAATAAAATAAAAATTTTAATGAACCAAAACCGGTTTGGCTCAGTAGATAGAGCGTCAGCCTGTGGACTGAAAGGTCCCAGGTTCAATTCCAGTCAAGGGCATGTACCTTGGTTGTGGGCACATCCCTAGTAGGGGGTGTGCAAAAGGCAGCTGATGGATGATTCTCTCTCATCGATGTTTCTAACTCTCTATCACTCTCCTTTACTCTCTGTAAAAAATCAATAAAATATATATTTTTTAAAAATTTTAGTGAGGAATAGATAAAATAGCCTGACATATCACTTCATACAAAGTAAAGAATTACCATGGAGTTTTTGTGTCAAGTAATAAGAATTCAAAAGGAAAAACTTTAAAGAAAAATGATTTTAATGCTCTATGAACTGCCCTATCCTTTACCAAATGCACATATATGCACATATATGCAGCAAGGACAGCCTCATTCACGACCTCAGAATCATCTAAAGCAAGCATGTCAAACTTGCGGCCTGTGGGCCGCATGACTTGTTTATTTGGCCCATGTTTGCCTAAGAATTTGACATGCTTGGTAAAGGTTAGAATGCATGAGAAAATCTTAGCTGTCATTCACCAACGTATGCTTGAAAAGTAGTCAGAGCCAGTTCTGAAGTTTCTGGATTGCCATTAGCCCGACTCATCTATCCATTAGGGTATACTTGGGAATCAATGGTTACTTAAAATAAGGATTCCTCTCTGTCCTTCTGATTTCATGATAGTTACTGAGTTTCTGTTCATTTGGTTTGGTTATTTGCTTTTATTTGCACAAAAAGACTTTATTTGGCTTCCTGGAATATTAAAGGGTTTTGTTTTGTGGTTTGCTTATTCTGTTTATTTTGGCTTTTTGCCTTTATTTGCACAGAAAACCTTTATTTAGCTTCCTGGACTGATGTAGGAAATGGATTAAAGTCATGAAGATAATGTTTGAATATTTTTTTTGAATTTATATAAGGTAGACTTAATTTATTATAGAGTGCCCACGCATTGTGATAACTGCTTGTCCTATGTCTCACTTTGAGTGATTGGCCGGTGGATGGGTGTCTCCATCTTCCCCACTCAGTGTGGATTATTGGAACTCTCAGAGCAATTACCATAGAGGAGTAGTCTTTCAGAAAAAGGTAAACTAAACTCTACAATCAGGATTGGCTCTGAAAAATAGCCCACACAGGAAAGGGCAATAAAAAAAACAGAGGTTGTGAGTCCCTGTATTAGAAATCCCAAGGTAGATGCAAAAAAATATTAGTTTAGAGTTGTGACATACATATTTAAAACAACACACACACACACACGCAGCTTTAACCTAATATAAATAATAACTAACAATAAAGCATATGCATATATTGTTAACACATACACAAGGAAACAATTTTTTAAACTATTAAAGTTTGATGCAGTCAAATAATTACAATATCATCCCAGTGCTTATGGTACTAACTTCATCTGGGCCCTTAAATAGATTACCTAGATTGGCTCTTCAGGAATCCACGTAGATAATGTCAAGCTTTCTTTTAAATGTAAAACTAAATGTCTTGATACTTTCATTTTATGCACTTATCACATAGAATCATCATTAACTTTATTTTTAAAAATTTTACTTTTGAAAAATGTTTTTCTTTGCTTTGAACAATCTCAAGTAAGCTAGGAATTGAAGGAAATACTTTTAACATAACAAAAGGTATCTATCAGAAACACCCACCAAATATTATCTTGAATTTTGAAATGTGTCCCATTATAGTGAGAAGGCAGTGATGAAAATAACCCTCACCACTTGTCACTGTTTTACTCTTTATCATAGATAAGAGGTATAGAATTTGTTAAAAAATAATAAATAAATAAATAAATAAATAAATAAATAAATAAATAATAAGGAAAGAAGAGAGATAGAGAGAGACAAAACTGTGAGGCTTGTTGGGAATATGGTTGCATGACTAGAATATCCAAGACACGCCACTGAAGAGCAGACTTAGTAAGACAGTTTTTCTAAGTGTAGAATTCAAAGGACACATATAAAGAGAAATAAATTTCTCAATAGCAACAATGATGATAAGGAAGGAGTTATAATAATAGAGGAAAGGAACACTGTCAAAATAACCAAAAACGTCATAAAACAGGAATAAACGTAGCAAGCATTTTTTAACCTCAACCCCCTTCTTTTTATTGACCAGAGAGAGAGAGAGAGAGAGAGAGAGAGAGAGAGAGAGAGAGAGAGGGAAACACTGATTATTCCACTTATCTATGTATTCATTAGTTGATTCTTGTATGTATCTTGACAAGGGATGGCAACTGTAACTTTGGTGTATTGGGATGACACTCTGAGCAACTTGAGCTACCTGGACAGAGCCCTAACAACCATTTTATGATTTTTATGAAGAACATTCTAAAGTCCAAACTATGGGAAAGAAACATCCTTTCCCATATGAGAAGAGTACTTCTTGTAAAAAATGTCTATTATCCCCAAATTTTTCTAAAATATTCAACGTACTATAGACCAAAATATCTGCAGGTTTTGTTTATTTGCTTGTTTGTTAATAAAATTTGATATGCGTACTTATACCTATATGAAAAAGAAAGTCCATAAGACTAGCCAATAAGAATTTTTGAAAATAATAATGGTAAAGGATGAAGGTGAGGATGGACATTGAGAAAACTACCCTACTTGGGCATCAAAATATATTACAAGATTTAGAACTGCATTGTCAAATAGAACAAGCCAGTAACGGGATATTGACAAATAGCCCCAGCTGGGTGACTTAGTTGGTTGGAGTGTTGTTCGATTCCCAGTCAAGGCACATACCAAGGTTGAGGGTTCTATTCCTAGTTGGGGAGAATATAGGCGGCAATCAACTGATGTTTCTCTCTCGTATGGATGTTTCTCTATCTCTCTTTCTCCCTTCCTCTGTCTCTAAAATTAATAAAGATATATTCTCAGGTGAGGATTAAAGAAAAAGTTAGAAAAATAGTATTGATAAATAGGATTTTGATGAATGAAGAATCACAAAACATACACATACTTATTCAGAAATTTATTATATCACCAAGTTATCTTGGCTCATTAAGAAAAGAATAGACCCTTTGACAAATAGGGTTAGAACCTATTTGGAAAAAATTAAGTCATAGTCATTTACTATAATAATAAAATGAATATGGCTTAAAGAGTTAAGTGCCAAAATAATTTTAAATACATAAAATAATAATAGAAACTATAGACTATTTTAGTAAGATTAAGTTGGAAATGGTTTTTCTAACAATACATATATATCCAGAGATGATTAGCAACATAAAGATTAAAAACGTCTGGTCAATGGAAGCTATATGTACATCATAGGTTCAAGCTACGTGACAGATAGCAAGAAATCATTTGTAATACACAATTGATTTAAGGCCATAATATATAAATAGTTCTTAAAATTAGATTTTGTAGAAAAGTATTTTTAAATGAGCAAAAGCTATCAAAATGTATTTTAAAGAAGAAATAAAAATCATTAATACATTTATTAAATAATGTTTGAACTTATTAGTAATCAGGAAAGTAAAAATTGAACCAACAGTTAGACATTCATTTTTGTCCACCAAGCAAACAAAAAATAAAAAATGGTGAGTTCCAGTGTGATGAAGTTATAAGTACCTGGGCTCTTAGCACTTTGCAAAAATATAAATCAATAAAACTTTCTTAGTAGGGTAATTGAACAGTATTGAAATTTAAAACATGCATATCAGGAATTCTACGTCTAAGAATTTACCCTGCAGAAGTACTCTGACATGTGAAAAAAACAGCACAGAATGCTTCTGTGGCATTGTTTGTAATTGTGAAAAAATGTATTTTTAAATGTGTATCAATTGAGAAGTGGCTAAAGCTTATAGTAATTTAATTCAATGGGATACTCTGCATCCACTAGGAAATATAAAATAAAGTTATATTTATAAAGATCTTTAAGACAAAGTAAAGGAAAAGAGAAGAACAATGTGCATAATATAATCTCATTTATGCCTTCTTCTTAAAGAAAGGTCACATATGTATAAGTACACTAACATGTATAGATAAAAAAGATACACAGATCTACATCCACCTGTTAATAGTGATTACTTCTTAAGTAGTTGTGGAATATAGGGGAGGAGTGTGAAGGAAGACTTTCAAATTTTATTTCATATATAGTTCGATAATAAATGTGAATTAATATATTATTTGGTCAACTTTAAAAGTATCAATAAATCACAAAAATATTTTAAAAAACCAGTCACATTTTGTTGATAACACTATCTTGTGCCTTTATAATTGGT